ACGCAATCCCTCCACTACGGGCTCCACTTCCCCCTTCCCATCTGTGGCCCTGAGGCCCTGAAGTAAGCAACCACATGATCATACACTCCACAAGACCTACCTGGCCCATCCCTCCCTGCACCCCAGCTATACCTGTACTGTGCGATGCACAGGGTCAATCAGAATCGAACCCTGGACCTCTTCCTAGCAGCACCCTAGGTCAACCCACTGAGCTACTACGTCAACTGATCTGTCTATGTGCTGCTGTACTAGGCTGGGGGACAAGTAGGTGGGGTGCCAACCTAGCACAAACAGGATGTGCACAGGGAAGACTGAGGGCGGACAGAATCAAGCCCACAACCTCCCTGTTATGACGCCAGAGCTTTAATCCACTGAGCTACCACACTTCGTCTGGCTCTATGATTCTCTGGGACTTCTACCGAAACATTTCTGCCCTTTCAGTTTTCSACCTTACTTTTYTGATAGACSCAYAACCTCCCYGTTAYRACGCCAGAGCTTTAACCCACYGAGCTAYCACACTTCGTCTGGCTCTATGATTCTCTGGGACTTCYACCGAAACATTTCYGCCCTTTCAGTTTTCGACCTTACTTTTCTGATAGACGCACAACCTCCCCGTTACAACGCCAGAGCTTTAACCCACCGAGCTACCACACTTCGTCTGGCTCTATGATTCTCTGGGACTTCCACCGAAACATTTCCGCCCTTTCAGTTTTCGACCGTACTTTTCTGATAGACTCATATTATTTTGGGGCACACAAATTGAAATGGCACTTTTCTCGAGTAATCGCATCTGCTATTTATAGAGTCTTATTCAGAAGGGTTGCTAAAGTCAAATCAATACCAGAAGACGTTCGGGTTCCTACACCTTGTTGTCTTCTGGGGGAGAAAGCTGGTGTCAAAGCCTAAGCCAAGTATTGGCCTCGGAACAAACAAAAGACTGCTGCACTTTTGCTCCACAGCTGCCATGCTCGTTCACATCTCCGAATTGTGGCCGTGCATGCTAAATAGTGCCCACACATGGAAAATAAAAACTCACCGAGTTGGTACAGTGGTGCACAAAGGTCAGCCCTTTCACCTCCCGGCCGTTTGAGAGTTACTTCCACGCACTCATAACATAGATATGAGGCCGGCCCTACCCGCGGGGCCCGCTCCCTGGGGCTGTTACTAGGCAGCATTTATTGCTTGCCAGCATGGGTAAGTATCGATGCCAGCGGGGAGAGAGCTTCCCTGAGCTTCTCCCTGTCCATTCTCCCCCTCTGTTCAGCAATCTCCATTCGAATATATCTATCACCACCTTTTTTTTTCAAGCCCATATAACTCCTTTATTCATACATATCTAGCCCTGCAATCATTACCCACCTACTGGATCTTCGGGTAGAATCGTCCTTCAGGATTCGGTAGGCCAACTTTGCTAAGAACATTGAGTGGCCCCACCAGTTATCCCTCCAATGTTATGTCAGACCAACCAGCTGATCCCTTTTACCAGCAAAGCCCAGGCCCTTTTTTCCCTTCAACTAGACGTTTGTGAGCAGAGCAGTCTACAGCCCGGACAAGCCTGAGGATGTGGGACTCCCCCGGTTTTCTGCTGAGGCTCTATTATCCGCTGCAGGGACAAGTCTGATGGCCAGTGGCCTAGCTCAGTTGGTAAGGCACGCAAGTTGCATTATGGAGGTCTTGGGTTCAATCCCTATTGCCCTCATGTACCTTCCTGGGCAAGCTTGGTGCCTGCATGCTCCCTCGGTGGAGGCTTGAGCGCGGATGTGGCTGCTACGGGGTTGCCGTTAATACTATAATGGCAATAAAAAAGGCCTGAAAGGCCATCCTGTCTGGATTTGACAGGTAATTGAATTGGTTGGGCTGAATAAGCCTTCAAAAAAAAAAGAAAGAAGTCTGATGAAGGAATGGCACCAGGCACCCAAGAACATCAAAGAAGAACCCACAAAAAAGCAAATACTCGTAGACAAATTCATCAAAGACCGGCTGGGAACTGGTAAACTCGGCACCATAGAAGGCGCTCCTCCGAGACTTGTATGGAAGCTGCAGGAAGAACAAGAAGGGAGATACCGGATAACGGACCTCGCCTTGTTAGAAACAGCGCGATCACAGAACAGTGTGGCGGATATAAACTCAGCATAGAAGGCACAGAAGAGCCAGCATTTAAGAAAAGAGGGAATCAGTTTACAAGTAGTTGCCTCTTGACCTGGTTGTGGGTACATAGTCCAGTTCCGGTGGTTCATTCCACCCCTGGGGAGTGCTTGTTTTTCCGGTATTGTAGGCTGTTCCACCTTGCTCCAGAACCTGTGAGTGTAAGGAGGTGTAGTGTCCAGGACACAGGGGTGGGCAGGGTTTAGGGTTTAAGGGGGAGCTACAGAAGTAAGGTATACTTTGTTAACCACCATTTCACTCTAGACTGCTCGTTTTGTTCAAACCACTCAGGCTTTCCCTTCTTCTCTAGGTACAAATTGATCCCTTCGTAGTCCAGTTTTTGTTTCTTAGGGGACACTGGACCCGGTTTCCAGCCAAGCCAAAGCTGGGTAATGGCCCCAGTACACCGGGTTGAGATGTGGAGGGATTCCCGGCCTCCTTTTGCGAAAAAAAGAAAAAAAAGAAAGGAATTAATCCGAAAAAAAAAAAAAAGAATCTTTGAATTGTGAGGAACAAGAAGCCCATGTGTCTTTGTCTGCAGTAAGGGTTAGCCTTCGCTGCATCCACTTCTATGATCACCCCCCATGCAATCTCTCCCACCATTCTGAGGAGAAATCCTTGAATTGCAGCAAGGGTGAGCCATTGCTTATATCTACTTCTGCTATCATTCCCGGTGGAATCCCTTCGGACCACTGGCATTCCAAGCAGGAAGCTTTAATGAAGTTTCTTTTGATACTCTGTAGAGTCTAGCTTTACCAGCATCTCATTCCATCGAGTCCCAAGCTCGGTTTCTATGAGGGTTTTCTTTTTTCTCCTTTTTATTGAGAGAGGATTGTACGGCCTTGGGCACTGGTCCCCTTCAAATGAAAGGTGTTGTTTTCTTGAACATGTGGACCGACCACAGCCGTGGTGCAGGGCGAGACGTCTCTTTTGCAAGGCATGCAAGTGTGGGGGGCCATCGGGGTTGTTGTTTTTTGTGTCATTTGAATGAGCGGAAAAGGGAAAGTTAAGCGCAAGGTGTCCATAGCGAAGGTGGTGCACCATGTGTGCGCTATGTGCCCATCTCTGTTATCTCTGTGCTGAGCGTACGCCATGCCTGTGCTATGCTTGTGCTATGCGTGTGCATGTGCGCCATGCAAGTGCAATGCCTGAGCTAGGCCTGCTTTATGTCTATGCCTGTGCTATGTCTGTTCTATGTCTTCATGTGCTATGCCTGTCTCTGTTACGTCTGCGCTGTGCATGCTATGCCTCTGCTATGCCTGTGCTATGCATATGCCAGTCCTACATTATGCATGTGCCATGCCTGTGCAATGCCTGTGCTATGCCTGTGCTATGCCTGTGCTATGCCTGTGGTATACCTGTGCTATGCCGTAGTATTCCTGCATGTGCTATGTCTGCCTCTGCAATGTCCGTTTGCCTGTCCCATGCTTCTGATATGCTTGTGCTATGACTCATGTATGTCTGCATAATGTCTATGCCTGTGCTATGTCTATGCCTGCGCTGTGTATATGCCTGTGCTATGTATATGCCTGCGCTATGTCTGTCCGATGTTTGCATGTGCTATGCATGTCTCTTTTATGACCATGCTGTGCATGTGCTATGGCAGCGCTATGTGCCTGCTATGTATGTGCTATGTTGGTTGTATGCCTGCATGTGTTACACCAGGATCTGTTATGTCTGTTTGCCTGTCCGATCCTTGAGCCATGCTCCTGTCATGGCTGTGCTTTTCCTCCGCTATGTCTATGTCCGTCCTATGACTGGACCATCTCCATGCCTGTGGTGTGTCTGCTCTGCAGTCCTTTCTATGAGCTCGATATGCATGATCACCAGGTTCGTTTCGTCTGTGCTCTATACGCACCTGTGCTATGTCTTTGCGATGCCTGTTTGCTGTATGTCTCTGCCTTCTTCGTGTCCTACTGATTATGGCTGTACCATTTATCTGCCACATGGAAGATCAATCAGTGCAGTTATGCGTGTTGTACTTGATGATCTGCAACGTGACAGATCAAGCAGCTCGATTTTGTTTGTTGAACTCATCTGCCACGTGGAAGATCAAGCAAGTCGACTATGCCTGTACTACTAACCAGTAACTTTACAGAGAAGTAGCTCAGGTGGAGGGTACTGACACACATGCCGTTCTGTCTTGCCCCCCGTTGGCATCTCTCTCTCTCTCTCTCTCTCTCTCTCTCTCTCTCTCTCTCTCTCTCTCTCTCTCTCTCT